GAATTAGAAAAGCAAAAGAGATTATGAGGTTAAAGTTGCAAGAGAATCGAAGACTAACCAAAAGGATTCTTTCAGGTATACAGAAGTAAGATCAGGGACAAGATAGGCCCCCTCAAAAGTTCCTCGGGTCAGCTCACTGACAGTGATAAGGAAATGTGTAGAATTTTTAACACATACTTCCTCTCAGTTTTTACACAGGAGGATACCAGTGATATTCCAGTAATGATAAATTATGTAGAACAGGACGATAATAAACTGTGCACTATTAGGGTCACAAGTGACATGGTCCTTAGGCAAATAGATAAATTAAAACCTAACAAATCCCCAGGCCCTGATGAACTGTATGCAAGGGTTCTAAAGGAATGTAAAGAGGAGCTTAGCACACCTTTGGCTAATCTTTTCAACATTTCACTACAAACTGGCATGGTGCCAGATAAGTGGAAAATGGCAAATGTGATACCTATTTTCAAAACAGGTGACAGGTCCTTAGCTTCGAACTATAGACCAATAAGCCTAACCTCCATAGTGGGAAAATTTATGGAATCAATAATTGCCGAGGCAGTTCGTAGCCACCTTGAAAAGCATAAATTAATCAACGAATCTCAGCATGGTTTTACAAAGGGGCGTTCCTGCCTTACGAATTTATTAACTTTTTTCACTAAGGTATTTGAGGAGGTAGATCATGGTAATGAATATGATATTGTGTATATGGACTTCAGTAAGGCTTTTGACAGGGTCCCACATCAGAGACTATTGAGGAAAATTAAAGCACATGGAATAGGAGGAGAAATTTTTTCCTGGATAGAGGCATGGTTGACAAATAGGCAGCAGAGAGTTTGCATAAATGGGGAGAAATCAGAGTGGGGAAGCGTCACGAGCGGTGTTCCACAGGGGTCAGTGTTGGGCCCCCTGCTGTTCACAATCTACATAAACGACATAGATGAGGGCATAAAGAGCGACATCGGCAAGTTTGCCGATGACACCAAAATAGGCCGTCGAATTCATTCTGACGAGGACATTCGAGCACTCCAGGAAGATTTGAATAGACTGATGCAGTGGTCGGAGAAGTGGCAGATGCAGTTTAATATAGACAAATGCAAAGTTCTAAATGTTGGACAGGACAATAACCATGCCACATATAAACTAAATAATGTAGATCTTAATATTACGGATTGCGAAAAAGATTTAGGAGTTCTGGTTAGCAGTAATCTGAAACCAAGACAACAGTGCATAAGTGTTCGCAATAAAGCTAATAGAATCCTTGGCTTCATATCAAGAAGCATAAATAATAGGAGTCCTCAGGTTGTTCTTCAACTCTATACATCCTTGGTTAGGCCTCATTTAGATTATGCTGCACAGTTTTGGTCACCGTATTACAGAATGGATATAAATTCTCTGGAAAATGTACAAAGGAGGATGACAAAGATGATCCCATGTATCAAAAACCTTCCCTATGAGGATAGACTAAGGGCCCTGAAACTGCACTCTCTAGAAAGACGTAGAATTAGGGGGGATATGATTGAGGTGTATAAGTGGAAGACAGGAATAAATAAAGGGGATGTAAATAGTGTGCTGAAAATATCTAGCCTAGACAGGACTCGCAGCAATGGTTTTAAGTTGGAAAAATTCAGATTCAGGAAGGATATAGGAAAGTACTGGTTTGGTAATAGAGTTGTGGATGAGTGGAACAAACTCCCAAGTACCGTTATAGAGGCCAGAACGTTGTGTAGCTTTAAAAATAGGTTGGATAAATACATGAGTAGATGTGGGTGGGTGTGAGTTAGACCTGATAGCTTGTGCTAACAGGTCGGTTGCCGTGTTCCTCCCTTAAGTCAATGTGACCTGACCTGACTAGGTTGGGTGCATTGGCTTAAGCCGGTAGGAGACTTGGACCTGCCTCGCATGGGCCAGTAGGCCTTCTGCAGTGTTCCTTCGTTCTTATGTTCTTATGTTCTTATGTGACTGTTACAAAGGTGCGACTGTTACAGAGGTGTGACTGTTACAAAGATGCGACTGTTACAAAGGTGTGACTGTTACAAAGGTGCGACTGTTACAGAGGTGTGACTGTTACAACTTTGCAACAATTAACTGTGTGACTTACAAAGGTGCGACTGTTACAGAGGTGAACGTGGAAATGTGCCGGTGGTGAAGCAAAGGTCACAGGACTGTCACTCCAGCGTGGAATGCAAGGTTATTACCATTATTCGTGAGGGAGCGCTAAGCACGTATGGGTTGGTGCAGCCCCTCCGGGGAGGTAGAAAGAGGAAGGGGGGAAACTGAGGGAATGGGGAAGCCATCCGGTTTGATCCGAGGAAACGGAAAAGGGAGCGTCCATTCCTCAGCTGTCAGTTCATTCTACTCCCCGAAGATATATTTGAAACCAGTCGAAAGTGTTCAAATCGTGGCTGGTTTTCGACCTCCGTTCTCTTATACGCAAAAATGTATATCTCTGTATACGCAAAAGTGTATATCTCTGTATACGCAAAAGTGTATATCTCTGTATACGCAAAAGTGTATATCTCTGTATACGCAAAAGTGTATATCTCTGTATACGCAAAAGTGTATATCTCTGTATACGCAAAAGTGTATATCTCTGTATACGCAAAAGTGTATATCTCTGTATACGCAAAAGTGTATATCTCTGTATACGCAAAAGTGTATATCTCTTATACGCAAAAGTGTATATCTCTTATACGCAAAAGTGTATATCTCTGTATACGCAAAGATGTATATCTCTGTATATGCACTGAGGTGTGTGTCTCAGTGAATATACACTGTATATACACTGAGAGGTGTATCTTAGTGTACATACACACAGATGTGAATGTGCGTTATATACATCTATGTTTATGAGATATGGATGTGTATCTCGGTATGTGTATATAATGAGGTGTGAATATTGCGAGGTGTGTATATAGACGTGTGTATTTCTCAGAGCATATACACCGCAAGATGTAAATATCTCAGTGTATATACACTGAGAGGTGTGTATTTTCTCAACGCATATACACCACCATCTAACTTCAGCCCCACTAACTGCAACCTTAATGACCATCGTTCGGTCGATAGTCTTCAAACTAGACACCATAACAACCTATTACATCACAAGGAAAATAAAAGAAAATAAGTCAGTGTGATTTTACCGGGTTTTCCTGGATAATTTTCATACGCCTTGCTATGTAAATCAGGCGTAAATGCATAAAGGCTTGCTTGCTGATTTACATACGCGAGAAAAAACGAGAAACGTATATGGCAGAAAATTTACATATTTACGCTTATGATATGTAAATACTGGAAAAAATGCGTTTAGGCTTGGTTGTTTATTTACAAATGCTGTAAATCGGGAAAATATAAGATTGTGGTGTAGTATTTACAGCAGTTTCTCTCTAGGCTAAATAAAATGGCCCCGTTTACACTTATGATAGTATGTAAATAGTGTAAAAGCGTGTAAGCTTGCTTATTTATTTACAGAAACCTAAGAACAGGAAGAATCAAATAACTTGAGGTGTGGCGTGTAGAGACAGACACAGAAAGACAGCTACACACACACAGAAAGACACAAAGGTGGGAAGAGAGAGAGAGAGACAAAGAGAGAGAGAGAGATATGATGAGGAGAGAGATGAATCCAAAGTCAGCTGTGTGGCACTTGACATTGCTGGTGCTTTCGACCGAGTGTGGCACCAGGGCCTCTAACAGAAACTTCAAGCTCTGGGAACTGCAGGCTCTACGCTATGTCTCCTCAGTGATTACCTTCATGGTAGATCTCTAAGTGTAGTTCTCAATGGAACAGAATCAGCAAGACATCCTACTGGGGCAAGTGTTCCACAAGGAAGCGTGATGGGACCATTGTTATGGAATGTCTACTTCAGTGACCTTCTTCATCTCATCCCAGAATCCCCTGCATGTGCAGACGACTGTATACTGACATTTACTTATCCAACAGAAAAAATGCCAGCTGCTATAAGCTACATCAATCACCAGCTAAGAGCTATATCAGCTTGGGGAAACAGATGGCAAGTAACATTTGCACCTGAGAAAACCCAAATGATGATCGTCTCTAGGCACCATGATGGCAATGCTGGTGCAGTAGTAAGGATGAATGGGAGAGTGTTGGTACCTGGTGAAGAAGTTGATACCCTTGGGGTGAAATTTGACTCCAAACTGACCATGAAGAACCACGTTGTAAATCTTGCAAACAAAGCAGCCAGGAAGCTTACAGTACTTCGCCGTATCTCGCATCTGCCTGACAGTGGGGGTTGCAAGATTCTGTACGAGGCACAAGTACGCTCACACCTTGAGTATGCTCCACTTTCATGGTTTGCCTCCCTTTCCCCTCTCACCTGCGACTGCTTGACAGAGTAGAGAACAGAGCAAGATGTCTCATCTCTCGTCTGGACCCATACTGAATAGATCTGTCATTTCAGCAGAGCCTTCAACACAGGAGGGATGTGGGTGGCCTTACTGTTATGTACAAGGCCAATATTGTCAAAGTACCACACTTGGATCCACTTCGAGGACAGCGTGAAACAAGGTTTTATGCCACAAGACGGGCAGAAAGCAGCAACTTCACTCTGGCTGTACCCTTCTCCAGAACATCACTTAATCTGAGATCATTTATCCCAGGATGACTCGAGTATGGAACACATTCGTACAGCATTATGATGTCAACTAGATAAATAAAGTCAGTTGATCAAATGAAAATGCTGGCCCACAGATGGCTCCAACTTCATCCTGTTCCCTACTTGTATGTCTCATAATAAAAATGCTTTCAAATGAGCTGATGTAGGTAACAGCTCTTAGCTTGCCAATAAAGTTAAGAATCCTTAACCTGTAAATAGCTTGTCAATAAAGCTAGGGATCCTAAACCTTGTCAAACCCTGTGTAAAAGAGAGAGAGAGAGAGAGAGAGAGAGAGAGAGAGAGAGAGAGCAAAAGAGAGAGAGAGGGACTGACGGTAGAGTGACCCGTGTGTGTGTATTAAGCAGTGAAGGTTCAGTTCAGTATGGTCGCGGTGGTGGTGGAGTGAGGGTGTCGCTCGCTGGCTGACTCGCGCTACTCGCGGCTCCCATCTCCACACTTAGAAAGTGTCGAGATTGAAATCCCCTGACGAAAAGAGTGAGGATTACAATTGTGATTTGAACGGGGGGATTTAGACAAGGTTAATCCAGTGGACCGTATGAGGAAGTTAGTGGACGCTTTATTAAATAAAAACACAAAAAAAATCCAAGGGGATTTTTATACCGAAGATAACCTGGGATTAATTCTGTTTTAAGGAGGTAAGATAAAGCTAACTTTTTTTCTCTCTCACTCAAAGTTTGTAAATGCGTTTGTCTTTCAGAAACTTTTATATATACATTTAAAATCTTTTTACAATCACTGTTTTAAATTTTATATATATATATATATATATATATATATATATATATATAATATATATATATATATATATATATATATATATATATATATATATATATATATATATATATTATATATATATATATATATTATATATATATATATATATTGTGTGTTAGGTAAGACACATATGCAACAGTTAGGTATCTTTATTTCGAAACGTTTCGCCTACACAGTAGGCGAAACGTTTCGAAATAAAGATACCTAGCTGTTGCATATGTGTCTTACCTAACAACCTGTCGGTATTTTATACCATTTTAATGTTCATATATATATATTGTGTAGACGTTTCGCCCACCAGTGGCTCCATCGGTAAAATAGAGCTGTGAATACGTGGGATAGTCGAAGATGTGCGTACGGAAGAGGTATATAGTGATTTGGTCTTGACGGATCTGAAGCCCAGGCTTCAGATTCAGTGGAAATAGGTCAAGGACCCTAATGAAAATAAATCAAGGACTCCAAATAGAAATAAATCAAGGATCCCCAAATAGAAATAAATCAAGGACCCCAAATGTAAATAAATCAAGGACCCCACTGGAAACAAAACAATCGACCCCAATGGAAATAAATCAAGGACCCCACTGGAAATAAATCAAGGATGCACTTGAAGTAAATGAAGGACCACACTGGAAATAAATGAAGGACACCCTGGAAATAAATCAGTGACCCCACTGAAAATAAATCAAGGACCCCACTGGAAATAAATGAAGGACCCCCTGCAAATAAATCAGTGACCCCACTGGAAATAAATCAAGGACCCCACTGGAAATAAATCAAGGATGCACTGGAAGTAAATGAAGGACCACACTGGAAATAAATGAAGGACACCCTGGAAATAAATCAGTGACCCCACTGGAAATAAATCAAGGACCCCACTGGATAATAAATGAAAGGAGACCCACGGGAAATAAATGAGGACACCTGGAAATAAATCAGGACCCCACTGGAAATAAATCAAGGACCACTGGAAAAAGTAAAATGAAGGACCACACTGGAAATAAATGAAGGACACCCTGGAAATAAATCAGTGACCCCACTGGAAATAAATCAAGGACCCCACTGGAAATAAATGAAGGACCCCCTGGGAATAAATCAGTGACCCCACTGGAAATAAATCAAGGACCCCACTGGAAATAAATGAAGGACCCCCTGGGAATAAATCAGTGACCCCACTGGAAATAAATCAAGGACCCCATTGGAAATAAATCAAGGATAAAATGGAAATAAGTCAAGGACCCTAATGGAAATAAGCAACTTTGACTTTACGTGTACCTGAATAAACTTACTAACTTCAGCTGCAGTCTGGGCAGCACCATGTTATTTGCAGCCAAATATAGTTGAATTCCACAGGTGAGTAATGTAGAATTCAATAATGGCAAGTGTCAGGTGAGCTCTGTAAAAGCAAGTAGGATTGAATTCCACAAGTGAGTGATTTAGAATTCAGTAGTGATGGGTGTTAAGTGAGCTTTCTCTAAATATGGTTGAATTCCACAGGTGAGTAATGTAGAATTCAACAATGATAGGTGTCAAGTGAGCTCTGTAAAACCAAATAGGATTGAATTCTACAAGTGAGTGATTTAGAATTCAGTAGTGATGGGTGTTAAGTGAGCTTTCTCTAAATATGGTTGAATTCCACAGGTGAGTAATGTAGAATTCAACAATGATAGGTGTCGGGTGAGCTCCCTGTTACATGACGCTCTAATAAAGCTCACTAATGGTAAAAGTTTATATTGAAAAAGTTACGCCCCAAAAAATCCCGCTCTGGAGTAATTACGCCTGTGTTGGCGTTCGCCAAGTGGCGGTGGATTGCCCCGTCTTGGTGCCGGATTCCCGGCGGATTTGGACCAATTTTTAGTTAAGTGAGGTTGACGGAAAACGCGATTTTTGGGGGGATTTCTTGTTTTTTTTTTTTTTTAAGCCACTTTGTGTAATCCTTTTAAATCCAGGTAAAAGTTTGAAATGGATTTTTGCCTGTACGCAAATAAGATTATTTTTTATGAATTTTGAAGAGGCTGAGGAATGTTCCTTGATGCTGGTGAGGAGGGCTCTTGATCCAAGGAACTGTATTTGTCCTCTCCTTTGGCTCGAACCTGACTGTTTCGCATTTCCCAGGCAATCTATTGCCCCTACGGGTTTTGCGGCTCCTCAAAATATTTTAATAAACATTATACACTAAAGAGAAACAGACTTCTCGTATCTCAACCGAATCAACCAGGGTCGAATCCTGGGCGAGGCGAGTAGAATTAACATGGTTGATTGGTTAACAGAGTTTAAAGCCTATTAACTAGACGAGGTCATTAAGGTCACACGTAGTTTAAAGACTGCATTAAGGTCATTAAGGTTGCATGTGACCTGTTTTTATCACCAGTTAAGTATACTTTAATCCCTAAAATGCTGAGTAAACTCTGTATATACCCTGAGGGATATACACCTCTGTGAATATATGCTGAGAGGTATACACCTCTGAATATACCCTGAGATATATACACAGAGGTGTATATATCTCAGGGTATATATACCCTGAGATATATACACTTTTCTATAAATATACCCTGAGAGGTATACACCTCTGAATATTCCTTTATATACACCTTTCAGTGATTATACCCTGAGAGGTATACACCTCTTTGAATATTCCCTTATATACACCTTTCAGTGATTATACCCTGAGAGGTATACACCTCTGTGAATATTCCCTGGGTTGCCCAGGGTACCCAGTAACTTGGGTAACAGAGAGGAAGAGGACCCAGGGTAACCCAGTAACAAGCCACACTGCCTGGCTTCATGTTACCCCAGGTTATCCCTCCTGGGTTATCCCTCTTGTTAGGCCTATATTGACATTGTGTAGACATACATGGGTTATTACCTCGATACAGCTACGAGGGGCGCGTCGCCCCTTGTACCTTCTCGACCAGGTTGTTGGTGACCGTCGTGAGCAGACCAGTGGGTGCACCACAGCCTGGCTCATCAGGAACTGGCTTAAAATTTTCCAGAAAAAAGCCATAGGCTTGATAATAAAGAATTCAATAAAGTTTGGCTTTATTGGGTTATCGGATATCAAATTCTCCATAATTCTTTACAAAAAAAGTTATTAAAGCCTTACAAAAGCCCATTAAACCCACAAAAGCCTTAATAAACCCCTAAGAAAATCCATTAAACCCTAGGAAAGCTAAGCCCTGAAAGTGCTAAGAAAGCCAGTTTATTCTAAGAAAGCCAATTAAGCCCTAAGGAACTCAGTTAAACCCTGAGAAATCAAATTAAGCCTTAAGAAAGCCCGTTAATTTCAAGAACGCCTCCCAGAACAAATTTGTTAAGCCTAAAAACGCCACAAAAAGCCCAGTAAGCCAATTAAGCTCAAAGAAAAGCCCAGTAAGCCTATGAAAGCCCAAAGTAGACAATTAAGCCCAAAACGCCCCTAAAAAATCCCCCAAAACTCCCTAAAAAAAACCATTAAGACAACAAGCCCAAAAATTCAAGGAACCAGTCAGAAAAAAAATCCATCCCTAAACCGGGGGGCTCTCGATCCGGGGAAAGGGAGCTGCCCTCGGTTCGTATCAAACCTGACTTACTTCCCTCTTCTCTCCTTCCTCCCCCCCCCCCAGGGTACCATCGCTGTGTGGCCCTTGTGAGTTTAGCGCTTAATTATGATTATCCCCCTAGATGCTGTAAGCGGGGCGTCCCTACGGTTTTAGCGCTTTACCCTTAATGTAACTAACGCACAAAAAAATAATTAGGCGATAAGATAATCGAGGAATTAATTTCTCGTCTGTAATTATTCTTTTGTTACTGTTGTGCCCACTTTTGTTGCAGGCGATGAAATGTCAGGGGGCACGTCCGTGGCCGCGTTAATTAGGGCACGTCCGTGGCCTCGTTAATTAGGGCACGTACGTGGCCGCGTTAATTAGGACACGTCCCGGGTCACGTTAATTAGGGCATGTCCGTGGCGCGTTAATTAGGGCACGTCTGTGGCAGCATTAATTAGGGCACGACCGTGGCAGCGTTAGGGCACGTCCATGGTAGGATTATGTGGACACGCGTCGCCCAGCTGACTTCAGTGGTGCCTTGCGTTAGCTGCGACATTATACATATAGCCCAAACAATGCTCAACATGCCTCAGGAAAGGACACAGTTCGTCTCCGAGCAGTGAGAGCACCACATTCAGGAGATTTTCTTTTAGCTCTCTCTTTTAATCCTCTTTGGGCACTCGGCTCGACCCGCAGGTCATTCGGACAGGTGTAGCTCTTCACCTGGCTACCCCCGTACTCCTCGTACAGAGGTGTATTGACGGCAGGACGTCAGTTGATCAATTTAGACTTCATGGTCTCGTCAGAAGGGAAATGTGCCAGATATGATAAGGTCAGTGACATCAAGCGAAGTCTCCCCACAGCTCGTTGTCCAGCAGAGCGGGAACCTCAGGTACTGACGGAAGCCAAAGGCTTCCAGATGGAGCCACCATACTACCCTGGAAGGGGAGCCACCATACTACCCTGGAAGGGGAGCCACCATACTACCCTGGAAGGGGAGCCACCATACTACCCTGGAAGGGGAGTCACCATACTACCCTGGAAGGGGAGTCACCATACTAACCTGGAAGGGGAGTCACCATACTACCCTGGAAGGGGAGTCACCATACTACCCTGGAAGGGGAGTCACCATACTACCCTGGAAGGGGAGCCACCATACTACCCTGAAAGGGGAGTCACCATACTACCCTGGAAGGGGAGTCACCATAAAACCCTGGAAGGGGAGTCACCATACTACCCTGGAAGGGGAGTCACCATACTACCCTGGAAGGGGAGTCACCATACTACCCTGGAAGGGGAGTCACCATACTACCCTGGAAGGGGAGTCACCATAC